TATCCTTCCTTGTTCTCCAATCTTTTTACTTACTATCTTTAAGTAACTTCTCTATAACATTCACTTACTGATTTTCTTTCTTTATAGCTCTTTCTTGCTCAAGCTGTTCCTCTTAACTAGAATGCACTTACCTATCAGCTCTACCAATCATTAGCTACTTAACATTTGAACTCAAAAGTCACCTTTTAGAGAGAAAAACACTTCCCCAATTTACAAACTTCTTCCTTAACTTATACCATGTTCATCAGACACATCCATATTAAGTAATTTATTCATCCCCATACCCTGGTCTGTACCTAAATGATACTGATGTAGAAACTGTCATAGTATTTTCATCTTCCAATCAGAAACCACTGTGCTTATCAATAAACCATTTTTAAATTAACCTTATTAATTGAAATAATAAAAAGTTATATTTTAAAAAATTCCTGATATTTCTATAATAATTGTTTTAAAATGCTGATTTCATGTAACATCTGTATTCTTCTCAAGACTTTACCTGGTAGAAACCTAAATTTCAAAAGGAAAACAAAAAATAGGAAATTACAATAAATAAAGTTAATTTAATTTTAATAAAATTCCTATGTTAATATAGACTATCCATTTGCCCTGGCCTGTATTTCTCAGTGGTTAGAGAGTTGGCTTCATACTGGAGGGTTCAATTTCTGGGCAAGGGCATGTATCTGAGTTTCAGATTTGATCCCTGACCCCAATAGGATGAGTGTAGGAGGCAACCAACTATGCCTTTCTCACATCGATTTTCCCCTCCCTCCTTTCCTCCCTTCCCTCTCCCACCCTCCTTTCCATTCTCTCTAAAAAAAATCAGTGGAAAAAATATCCTCTGATGAGGATTAACAAACAAACAAACAAACAAACAAACTACCAGTCATTCTGGGGAAAACTTCCTTTTTTTTCTTCTAGAAAATCATCTTAAAGCACCATGTAAACTATGAAAGGATGCATCACAAGGCTATATGCTGAAGCACTACTTGTGATAGGAAAAGACTGGAGAAACTCAAATGCCTATACAGGAGGTCTGAGTGAATAAACTACAGTACATGGAACATCTACATGATTGAATACTATGCAGCTGTAAAACATAACATGAGTATCTTAGACATATGGAATTGTTACCAGAATAGACTATTACGTACAAATAAAATATGGATACAAGTAAATTTAGTATGTCATCATTTATCTATAATTGAGGGTATATATGTAGACAGATACGATTGTAGATGAAAGATGAATAACTAAATCTAGATACATAGGTAAGTAATTAGCTATTATTTATCAAAATTATATATGGGTTAGAGAGCATTGGTTGGAGGGGATAGAAATAAAAACTAATCTAGTTTGAATAAATATTGTTTTTAATTTGACTTGGCATCTGTACATATTGTACATAACCCAGGATCCGGGCTTCCCTTGCAGCCCTGGCTTTGTCCAGATGATCATCTGGTCTAACTAGCATATTATGCTTTTATTATTATTATAGATTATTTTACCTTGATTTTGGCGGGGCTTTGCTTTTTATGCGCCTTTAGTGCTTAGCACTCTTTGGCAAGCATCTAACACAGTTCCACACACAGGGTTAAAATAATAAATGTTCCCATTAGTACAGTTTCCTGAAATTGGTTCCCAAGTGACTCTTGGACATTTTGTCACAGGACTAAAGGTAACTGGAGGCGCTGTGTTTTAAATAGCATCACACCAGCCTGTTCCGGGCTGCGTTAGAGCAGGTTAGCGCTAATAAGGCTTCTAAAGGTTGCGGGGAGCTTCCAGTGACATGGAGAAATGGCTCAAGGATGCATCTGCCTCCTCTGCTTCTGCTAATCTAGGTTCAACTGCCGAGTCCAGTGACCAGTTTCAGAGGCGCTGGGAAAGCCCCCGGCTCTCCTCACACAGGGAGCCCTGCATCTCCTCGGCTGACAGGCATCAGGCCCCCCGACTCACCGCATCATGGAGGTTTGCTAGTTAGTGTCTGTCTACAGCCTAGCAGGGCGCTGTTTGGTCACAGAAACCTGAGCTGTGTGCTGGTGTGAGGGGCTCCTTGCTGAGACAATGGGGAGAGGGTGAGGATGGGAGGCCATGGGGCCCCTCCAGCCGCCCCCCGAGAGGACACGCGAGCTTTGGAGAGCAGAACTGAGGATAATTTACAGTGATTCTGAAAAACATTAGAAGGATGTTATCTTCATGAAAACACGATCGCTTTAACGTTATAGGATTCCTTCTCTGTATAATGGAATGAATAAAACCCTTTAATCTAGCTTTCATGAAGGATGTTGGAAAGATAAGTTTTGAAACATAATAAAGTGTGTACTGAATGTCTTTGAGAAGTTTCATAGCTGAAAGTAATCTATAAATAAAAGTGTGATTACTAAAAATCAGCTACATAAAAAAGAAACAGATTTCTGTCAACCCCAGAACAGGGGACCTCAGAGTAACTTCTGAATACCATGTCCTAAGTAGTTCTTTCCCGGCACCCAGTGGGTGGAAGCCAGAAATGCTGCTAACATCCTCCATTTCACAGCACAGGCCCCAAAGTAACGGCCCCAAACTTCAATCCTGCTGAGGGCAGAAAACACTGTCCTAAAGACCCCAGTGCCCTACAGCCCCCTCACCTCCCACCCCCACCCCGGACTGCAGGCCAGAGGCACCTTTCACTCACAGATCATTGTACTCCAACAACAAAAATAAATCAATATAAAACGTTCAGCAAATGGCTAATAACCAACCCACTAAAGGTTTCTATTTTCCCTGCTCACAGAGTTCCCGGGGGAAGGGGTCGCCCAGCCCTGCCCCTTCTCCCACTCCCCCCTGCACCTGGGTGTGCTCAGCAGGACGGACAGACAGTGAACCCAGCCTCACTCTCTTCACCCACTGCTGCCTGGAGGCTACCCAGGTCCCCCAGCCACTGGCTGCGAGCTGTCAGACCCCTCAGCCTGCCCCTGGATGAAACCCTAGCCCCCGCACCCCTCTCCTCAGCATGGCGGCTTCCATGTGCGGGAGGAGTCACGTCTGTTCTAATGGCTGAGGCAATGACAGCTCATCTGATCTGAGGGTCTGCATAGACGGTGAGTGTCTGTGAGAAGGAGCGGCCGCTGACGGCTGCTTCAGGATACACTCACAGACAAAAGGACCCCGTGTTCCTGTCCCTCAGGATCTGCTGGTCTGATGTCAGCACCAGTGTTATCAGAATCTCCCCCCCCCCCCCCAATCAGGCTCACCTGGCCTGGGTGATGAGGGCACAGTCACCCCCTGATACGCTGACAGGAAAGGAATTGCTGGTGAGAACAAAACGTGGAAGGGGTTCAGGTCATCAGGTGTAAGCGATACCGGGGCCGCCCTGTGGGCTGGGGGGAGTTCCCTCTGAGCTCAGCTCCTACCAATAGTGCCAGCACCCGCACTGCCCACCACACTGAGCTCACAGAAGGTGGCAGCGCCCTCAGCATCCACATCGCTCACTGCACCTGAGCTCACGGAAGGTGACAGAGGAAATGGCAGTCCAAAGCCGGTGAGGTGGGCTCTGGGAATGGTGGAGGGGCAGCGAGTTCACCAGCGTCGCCCATGGTCCGAGGGGGCAGGGAGGACACTGGGATGGAGAGGAGGGGAGATGTGTGGTGGTTGGGGCATGTAGGAGTGGAGGGAAGATCAAATCTTATTCTGGGTGAAATGGGAAGGCAGTGGAGGGTCAGGGTTGATGCCCAGGTTTCTGTTTGAAAAACTGGGTAAATGAGGGTTCCGTTTATTGGATGGAGAGCAGGGTTGACACAGGTTGGGGTTCAGGAAGTCAAGAGTTTGTGTGGGCATTTGAAGCTGAGATATCTGCAGTTCTCCGGGAGAAGATGTGTAATCAGTTCCATAACTAGCATCATCTGGTCATCAGTTAGGGACTCACTGATGTATTCAATGCACGTTTCCCTCATGTAAAAATAGATTAATTTTTACTTTTTATCTACATATTAATTACAAAATATCTTCTAAATATTTTTACTTTACTTCAGATTGCATTCTTCTCCTTTCTTTCAGAAAGCTACATGCCCCTTGGACATTAGGCATAAGTCTGACCACAGCAAATGGTTCAACTGGCACCAATCCTGACTTGATAAGAAAGAGCAGGTTCTAGTTCTTTTCAGTCCTGAGAATTTACCTCCTTTTCCTATTTTCTATCCCTTCTTCCTCAAAAGAAAACATAGAAAATGAGAAAAACACTCTAGCCCCTAACAAGCAGTGTGAGCATTGGATAGAGCGGCTTTGTCATGTCTGACACGTCCAGTGGCAGAAAGTGGCCTCTCAGGGTCATCAGCTCATAGCATGCTCCCGCCCGGTCACTGGGCCATGCTTCTGGCTGAAAGGTCTGCGACAAGCCCCGTCCAGCTCCTGTGACCCAGCTCACCCGCGGGGCAGGCCAGGGGCCCTCCTTTCAGAACCTCAGGTGTCACCTCCCTCAAGGAAACAGTCTCTTTAGCTCCCAGACCTGGCTTTCTCCGCCTTCATGTCATCTTCCTTATGTCACACCCCCCCTTCATTCCAAATGTGTAAAACACCCACAAAGCTGTCACTCCCCGAGTTCCAGGGCCCCCCCAGCACCATCCTCTGTTTGCACAGTGACTCCTAGACACACACTCTGCAGGTTTTTATTATGCATCAGCGGCACATGGAGTGTTTTATTGTTTTTGCAAAACAGTGTCTCCTGGAAGACAGATGCTACTTCCAATCAGACCCCTTACTCACAGTCTCCTTTCCATCTGCCCCTCGGTTAGGACTGGCGGAGGCAACAAGTCTTACAACGCAACTCAGTCCCAAGTTTAAAGGTGCATAAGGAAAACCAGTTCATACATCTAAATCAATGAGCACACAGACACTACTGTGGGTGTCAAATAGAGCAGCCCTGCCGTGGGTTAAATAGGAGCTAGCAGTACCGCGCTGGCTCTCACACACCCCACACCCCCACACCAGTGCAGGGGAGCCCGGAGCTGCAGGCAACTACCACCTACCGAGGGGCTGGCCCGCGATGATCCTGGCGTTCTCCCCGGCCACGGCCGCCCGGGCGTGCCGCTCGCTCAGGTACTGGACGAACGCATAGCCTTTGTGCACCGAGCACCCCACGATCTTGCCGTACTTGGAGAAGATGGCCTCGATGTCCGCCTTCTTGACGATGGCCGTGTTCAGGTTGCCGATGAACACCCGCGAGTTGATGGACTTGGGGTCGTTCTTATTGGTGACGTTGCTGGTCTGCGTTTTGCCGGTCATGGTTGGGTCCTGGTGCTTTAATCCTGGAACAAAAGTGAAAACAAAGACAGTTAAAAGGTAAGAAGTCAGGTGGAGTGGCCGTCACTGGCTTTGAGCAGCTTTTTAATAATGAACCATGTAATCTCAAATCCCTGAGTCTGAGTTCTTCTTGAGAAGAAAATTTAATGCAAAACTGCACGCATTGCAGAGAGGCGGGAGAAAAATACTTATCATCACTCAGCACAGAGTTAGAAATGAGCTCCTGATCTCTTTTCCTACAACAGAGCCTGTATAATGACTAAGCTTTGTATTTTTAAGTCCATCAATTTTTTAGAAGCAAGTTTGAGGAAGAAGCCACCTTATTTTATCAACAACAGAAAAAGTCCAGCGCAACTAGGATGGAATATAGGAATGTGACAACCTCCATTCATTGTTGAGAACATGCATTTTTATCTCTACATTTTTTACAGCAGGTAGACATATTGTTTATTTCAGACTCAGAACCCTTCTATCGGAAACTAGCGACCCATGCCATTCAAGGCTGCAGGGAAGGGAAAAAGACATTAAAAATAAAAAATTTAATAGAAAACTCAATATCAAGAAAACATAAAGAAATGAGTCAGAATGAATTCTGTACATCCTCTTTAATTGAACCGATATCACATATCAGTCCCTGGAACCTCAAAAAACAATTTGCCTGTGGAGCTAGTTTCATCAATAATCAGCATATCAGCGGACTGGGTGTCTGTTGAAATTTCTCCTCTTGACCTCATTTTTAATTCATTTAACGGAAGGCTCCTCTGTTGCCTAAATACAGCAAGTCTTTCCAAAAACTGTTTTGTGAGCCTGCCATAGTGTTTACTTGTGCTTAATTAAGTTCAATGAAACTTTTATTCCTGAGTACTCCAGCACTGCAGCATTGGTTTCCAGCTTTGCAAATTCATCCATCCATCCATCCATCCATCCATCCATCCATCCATCCATCCATCCATCTGTCCATCCGTCCAATCCATCCATCCAGCAGTGTTTAGTAAGCACCTATTTTAACTGCCTGATATTCCCTCCTAAAGTGCCTGTTAAGGGCATTCGAATTGGATCTGTTAAAAAAACTTACTTCCACTGAAAACAGCCACCTCTGGGATCAGGAGCAACTGGGGACATAAAAATGTTTCCAATTATGGAAACATTATCACAGCTCTGGTGATTAAATTTTTACTAAATATTGGACCATCAATATTACATATGCCTCCTTATACTGAAGGTGAACCTCATAAGCAGCCATTCACACATAAATGAAGAGTGTGACATCATTTAAATAAGGACTCATGTTGCATTGCCTTGCTCTAGCTTAGCGACATTGAAGAGGTTTCTTTATGAGTTATTCGAAGCATTCATGGTTAAGATTAAAAGGATAAAAAGCTGATCATTTGTTTAAAATTTTGTAATCTGAGCTATTGCATATCTTAAGACAAATGCTCTGAGAACCAACAGAAACAAGAAAAATCAAGGTGCGGATATGTAATACAGCCTTTACTTCTTCACATGCCCTAGCACACTTTAATCACACCGAGGGAGCAGATTAGGCTAAAAGGCCCATTTTTGGGCTCTGGATGGATTGATGGCTACCTTTCTTACCCCTTCAGGCCAACATCAGAAATATAATCCACAGAACTAAGATTTTGGTTTTACTCTTATGTGATATTTTTGGAAATACTGTAAAATATTTCCAAAAATATCACAATTTGTATGGCTAGCATTTAGTTTCCTGGACAGGGATGAGTTGGTTAAGGTGCAAACACAGAACTATTAGATTAGGTCCAATCCATGATCTGAGAACCCAGTGTTGTCTTTGACAATGATCTGCATCAGATCTAATATGAGGGCACAGCGGTACTCTCACTTCTTACTGTAAGAGTCACTGTACCTCGTTCACTCAGACACTCCTACCAAATAAAGAATGAGCAACAACAATAACAATCACACCAGTGAGAAATGCCCAGGTGTGCAAAAAGTCCACCAACAATATGATGCACTAGAGGCCTGATGCATGAAAACCATGCATGGGTAGGGTCCCTAGGCCTGGCCAGCGATCAGGAATGGTCTGTGGGGTGATCAGTGGGGAAATCGTGGATCCCCTCCTGGCACTTGCTCACCGGCCCTGCCCTCTGCTGCCACTGTTGGTCACCTCCCTCTGCGGGGAGACCGGTAGGGCGATTGGGGGGTCCCCACTGGCACATGATTTAGCTGGCCTGGGGCCTGCGAGCTGGCAGCAGCTCCTGCATTGAGCATCTGCTCCTGGTGGTCAGTGTGCGTCACAGTGATCGGTCGTTCCACTGGGATTTTCCGCTGATTTGTGTATTAGGCTTTTATTATATAGGATACTACATTCTAGAACCTGATAAAATGTTAAAGGAATAAAAATGAATATGGAACAGTTTGTATCCTAAATGTTATCACCTGAGGTCTGCAGCTAGCAATCACATAAATGCTATAATATAAGGCAAAATCTGTCAAATTCTGTGAAATATACATCACTGTAATTTCTGAAAAAATAGAATGTTTATATCCACTTGAGGAGACCAGATAACACTTCTTAAACAGTTGATATGTAAATTAATCTTTCAAATATATTGTAAGAGTTCAACTGGCATACTGTTTTCTCAATGTGCTAAAAAGGACAGTTTTTCTAATATTTTAAACTCATCTAATTGTACTTGAATAAATTTTTGTAATAAAACAAGTTGATATAATATTTGCTTAGAATCATAATTAGAGAAAAAGGAAAAAACTCTCATGCAATAAACAAATGCATGTAAGTATCTCTTTGTGGATAAAATAAACCAAAAGAACATAAAAAAGGAGAATCCAAGATGGCTGCTCGGGTAGGCACCTAGCCGAGCTGCACACAACAATTTCAACAAAATACAACTAAAATATAAAATGGACATCACCCAGAACTACAGGAAAGTTGACTGACTGGAAATTCCACAACGAGAAGCAAGGAGAAAACCAGAAGGAAGCGCGGAGGAGCTGGGAAAGCCTAAGGTACGGAGACACACGGCGCGCGGAGAGGACGGAGCCGGAGAAGAGGGAGGCGGAGTGCCTGGCGGGCGTTCCCTGGCGGGAAGGAGATAAACGCTCCGAATGTGCTGGCTCCCATTCTGACTGCTCTGAACCCCAGGCCTAGGCCAGACCCCGGGGACCCAGGCTCACACAGAGGGAGCCGGGCTGAAAGGCTGAACCCCGGGGAAGAGGCGAAAGGAGGTCCCGGCGGCGGCGGCACCGCACAGAGAAGGGACGGTTGGCTGTGCCGCAGGATTGCCTGGTGGGAAGGAGACAGGGGCTCCAGACTGCTCTGAACGCCACCTCCAACTCCACTTCCAACTGAACTGAACCCCAGTTTCGGGACCATTGGGGGAGAGACTAGACTGTTTGGTAGCAGGCGAAAATCGAGGGCACCTTTCTCTCAGAGGCGCTTACAACAAGTACTGAAGGACCCTGAGTCTCAGGAGTCGCATAGGGCGGGGCTGACTAAAGCCAAAGCTGTAGGCTTCACCCTGAAACCCCGCCCCATCAGGAAAGCTGCCTGCGAAAATGCCTAAACCAAATAGATCACAAACGAAAGAAATGGAGGACAAAAAGCGACTGGATATAGAGTTCAAAACCACACTTATAAGGTTTTTCAAGAGTTTCCTAGAAAAGGCCGATAAAATAAATGAGACTTATGAGGATATGAAAAGGGATCAACAAGAAATAAAGAATACATTGTCTGAAATAAAAACTATTATACAGAGTCCTAAAAACAGAATAGAAGATCGCAAGAATCAAGTCAAAGATTTGGAACATAAAGAGCCAGAAGATACTCCTCCGCAGAAGCTAGAAGGCAAGAGAATCCAGAAAATTGAGAATCAAGTCAAAGATTTGGAACATAAAGAGCCAGAAGATACTCCTCTGCAGTCGCTAGAAGGCAAGAGAATCCAGAAAATTGAAGATGATGTAAGAAACCTCTGGGACAACTTCAAACGATCCAACATCAGAATTATGGGGGTCCCAGAAGATGAGAGAGAGCAAGATATCGAAAACATATTGAAAAAAATAGTGACAGAAAACTTCCCCCACCTGGGGAAAGAATTGGACTTACAAGTCCAGGAAGCACACAGAACTCCAAATAAAAGGAATCCAAAGAGGACCACACCAAGACAAATCATAATTAAGATTCCAAGAGCAAAAGACAAAGAGAGAATATTAAAAGCAGCAAGAGCAAAGCAGATAGTTACCTATAAAGGAGCACCTATACGATTGTCAGCTGACTTCTCAACAGAAACCATGCAGGCCAGACGGGAATGGCAAGAAATATTCAAGGTGATGAATAGTAAGAACCTACAGCCAAAGATAATCTATCCAGCAAAGCTATCACTCAGAATCGAAGGTCAGATAAGGAGCTTCACTAATAAAAAAAAAAAGCTAAAGGAGTTCATCAACACCAAACCAGAATGATATGAATTGCTGAAGGGGGTTCTTTCAGAAGATAAAGTAAATAAAGATAAAAATTATGAACAACAAATACGTAACTATCAACAAGTGAATCTAAAAACCAAGGAAATTAAAAAAAAATCTGATGAACAATATTAACTGTTGAATATAATAGAATCAGAGGTATGGAAGGGGAGTGAACTGATGATTATTGGGGATGTGGGAAGAGACTGAACATAAACTGTGCACCTATGGATGAGGACAATGGGGGGTGGGGAAAGGGCAGAGGGTGGGGTGGGAAGGGACATTTGTATTAATATGAACAATAAAAATTAAGAAAAAAAAAAAAAAAAAAAAGAACATAAAAAAGCCTGAATTTATTCTTAAGAAAACCATCTACAATTTAGAAAGATAGAACTTATATCTACCTGAGCAGTGACAATTCTTCAAGAGATCTTATGCATCATACACATTATTTTGTAAAATAAAAAAAAAATTTCCTGATGCCATTTTTCATGAGAAGTCACCAAGTATATTTGGTATAGAAT